GTTCTGAGCATCTCGGATTTGCCCCTCGGAGAACTCGATACCAGGCGGTGAGTCATCCACATTAATTACCCCAAGTGATTCACTCGGGTCATTCTCTTCTGTTTGAAGGTGCTCGGGGTCGGGCCCCTCGGCCTTGCCCTCCAAATAGCCTCCTAGGCAAGGTGCCTTTTTGTTGCCCGATGGCTCGAGGAATTTGTTTGAACACCCCTCGGAGATCTCTTCGGCTCTAGAATAAACCACATCAACCGTCACCGATTCGACAAATTTCGAAGCACCGGTGTTTCCTCTTTTACGAACAACCAACAAGCAGTCATCATCATCTTCTTCCTCCTGATCCTGAAGGCGTTGGGCCATTTCCGGAGATAAGGCCACCGTATCAGCCTTGGATTTCTGAGCTGCGCCTTTCTTGGGCTTCGAGGGATTTACAGGTGACCCCCTTTTTCTTTTCTTTTCTTTAGGAGGCTTCGGGATCTCTTCTTCACCAGCCGGGGTCAGCCGCATAACAATTGCGTCTCCGAGACCTGCATAAAAATGAATTAAGTATTCCACTAAAGAAGTACAAGTGAGTAAACAAGAAAACTCACTATGATTTTTAGCCTCCTATTGGCCCTTGGCCAAATCTCGCCAGCAACGCTCCGAATACGAGTAAGCGGAAGCCAGTTTTCGGACACAACCTTCAAGGTCCGGGACTGCACCAGGGAACCAAGCAGTAGTTGCGCCATCAGAAAGGGGATAGACCAAGGAAAAGGACAAAGCCGAGAAAAATAAGAGAAAGCAGGGTATAAACCTACTATGTACTTACGTTTCATGTTCTACTCCTCAGGGAACGACATCCAATCAGCATGAATCAGGTCAGAGGTCCTGAATTGGACAAACCGGCTCATCCACCCTCGGTCTTTTTCCTTATCAATATTGGAGAAGAGAGACTTCAAGGATCGGCATTGCAGTTTTATCAAGCCACCACGATAAAGTCGAGGATTGTACAATCTGATTAGATGGTCGAGGGTGAAAGGCATCCCCTCGACCTAACTCGAAAAGAACTTGATCAAGTAAATGATTCACCAGAATAAAGGGTAGATCTTGCCAAGCGTCACTCGGTATTGTTGGCAAAAGTCAAGAATAACTGGATCTATGGGACCCTGAGCTGGAATTGCAGGGCCCAGCGTGAATAGGTAGGTATACACACTTAAGTACCCCACTTTATATGTAGTGATATCCTCATCGGGGGAAGGGATCACTACTTCTTTGTTCTCCCACTTGCAGTCCTCATTTACTTGCACGAGCTCGTCCTTGGTTATCAAACAAACATATCGAGACATGGGCTCGCATCGGCTTGGTGTCGATACAGGTTTCTCGATCTTGAAATTGGATGTTATTTCACACGGCGGGGGAATGCACTCCTCAATACGAGAGGACACTACCAGTTTATTCTTGGTCGGTTGAGAAGATAAAGAAGCATTTTCTTTTTAGGGAACCAATTTAGAGGTCTTAGCAATTATAATGTGGAAATTCAAGAAAATGGAGAATGTTGATAATGAAGTAAGAGCTAATAGAAGAGAAGGGAGAATTCAGAGAAATTGAAAGAGCTAATGAGACTTTGAGAACAATATGAGAATAAAGTTTGCAAGATTGCGAAGTTTATCTATTTATAGAGGTCATTTAAGCATATTGAGGAAGCCAAAAGACTGTCAGTCCCCTCCAATTAATGACTTTGGGAACCGCACGAAAAGCAACCTTTCAGTCACTTCAGCTGCTGACGTCACAAGATTAGCATCAGGATCGAGGCGTCGAAGATTAATTCATTTTTTATCGATCTATTTCGAGTTTGAGCAAAGTGTCCACTCAACTACTAAGACAAAGGCTACCCGAGTTTGAGAAAATTCTCACCCGGGGACTATAAAAAAGTCTAAGGGCTAACTTTATTTCGAGTTTGATCAAGTGCTTGCTCGACTACTAAGCTCAAGGGATACCCGAGTTTGAGAAAATTCTCACTCGGTGATTATCTACGAAGCCTAGGGGCTAACTTTATTTCAAAGCCGAGACCTTGCTCTCGCTCAAATCGGACTCAGGAGTCTCGATGTCCCGAGCTCACATCAAATCAATTTAAGCTTAGCTCGAGGATTAATAAGAACCTTAAGGGGTATTATATTGATTAATTAAAAATCTAAGGGTTTATTATGTCCTGAGTCCGGTATTTGGACTAGTCACTGAAAGTTATACAATCAGATTTTCCACAAGTAAAGACGAAGTGGAATTCAACACGAGCGAAAAAGGAGAAAAAAAGATCCTTTTATATTTACAAGAGTTGGTTACAAAATATAACTACAACATCTACGAAGGGTACTTACACAGGAACAAAGAAGCAAAAAAAAGAAAGGCCAAGAACCTAATCTACTTTTAAGGCCACGTCCTCGAGAGCGTCATCTTCGAGAACCTCCTTCCCGGGGACCCCATTTTGATCTTTGGGAATGTTTGTGTGCCTGAAGAAATTTAGGACAGAAGACCCTCGATAAATGTAACTATATTTCTAGCAGCATGGATTGAGCGTTTTGTTGAAATTTTGGGCCATAATCTGTTAAAAAAGAGCGGCAAGAGAAAAAGATCAGAAGGGAAGACAAGAAGATGTAGCTTTACCTTCTATCACAAGAAAAAACAAAAAAGGTTGCAAGATGCACGAGCAACAATCTAAGAATATTCATCATTGAGACGTTGTACAGGTGTAGGATGCAAAAGTTAGTAGATGATAGTGCCACTTCACTCCATGAAAGGAAAGGGGAATGAAGTACCACACCAGGTTGAAGTTAAGAGAGATGAGCGGCAGGGTGAATTTCGCATATTTTCTGATGCGGGAAGGATTCTGCGCTCTTCTCTTGTGGTTTCGAAGCGAAGCTTTGAAAAGGGGAGCCTTGGCGTAACTGGTAAAGTTGCTGCCATGTGACCAGGAGGTCGCAGGTTCAAACCATGGAAATAGATGATTAAAGAAGAAAGTAAAGAAGGGAAAAGATCAAAGTGGATGAAGATGAAATAAGTATAGTTCTTTGTTCAACAGAGTAGCCTCCTATTGATAGAAAGGCGACGACATATCGGCAGTGCAAGTGGCCGACCAGTGCTGGGGCACATGTGATATTTTGGGGAAGCGTGCTAACATGACATTTTCGATCACTTCAAGCGCTTACGTCACGGACATGATGTCATCATAAGAAGTTCAGGAAAATCGAGGTCCAAATCGTTTCTTATCATCTTATTCTAAGAAACGCGGGGACTATCTGTATACGGTCAAAATTATATGCCTCCAATTTATAGGCTCGGGGGGGTCCATCCTAGGCCCGAGTCTGGGCGAGGTCGAGTTTGAAACCGACGGACCAGACTCGAGCTCGAAGACAGAGTGCAATGCCCGGAGATAGGAGTTCGAGGAATACCGAGGCTAAGTGTGCCTGATCCCGAAATAATATCGTTATGGGTTTGTAATAGAATGAACTAGATTCCTGCTACGTCCCCAAGATCATGACGCGAATCCCGGAATAAGATTGTACGATTCTATACTAGGCGGTTAGACAGTTGTACCAAGAATATTCCATACTGTAAATAGAAATATACCTTATTTAGGGATTCCCTATTATATAAAGGGGACCCCAATCATTTGTAACATCATCTTATTACTGAGCAAACAATATACTCTCTACTTTTTCGCCGATTGTTCATCAACATTGTCCTTTAGCTCTACTGTTCTTACTTTATTCTTATTACTTAATTGTTCTTATTATTCCAAGCCTACCTCGAGGTAGGGCTGTTTATCGAGCATATTGGGCGGTTATTTACTCTCAATGGTTTGACTTATCGGTTATCGGCTTTAAAATATATTAATCCGCTAGCCATCCGATAAGATATCGAGCGGATTGGTATCAGTTTAGCTCTTATCAGGCGGTTATCGGACGGTTTACCGGCCTAATTCAAACTATATTCAATGAATTACTAGAAAATATGCACCTACAATCTAAATGTTCTCTTGACCAAACCCATTTCATTTCTTTAATTCTCTACCAAGACTCATCATGTAATTAGTAAAAATAATAACTGTATAGGGCATTATTATTATTTCTTCCCTCTAGTAATTGATTAAGTTGCCAATAAAAAAAACAATTTAAGTTGTTTACCTGATATTGACCAAGAAGGGCTTTCGGATGGTTGTGTTGGATCAGATACTGACGAAAACAATTCCAATTTGAATACAGTGCCTATATAATCTGTGACTGGACTTAATTCTCCACAAAATAGGAAAAAGACAATAAAAAAAATAAAAGAATTGAAAAAAAAAGTCCGTTCTTTTTTGTTTCAAATAATACCAACTCAAAATTAAGAAAAAAGATAGAAGAATTAAGGATACGTGGTTCGGTTTATCCGTAATATGGGTAAAAATAAATTATATATATAAACGGATTAACGGATTATCCGTTAAAAAAATTGAATAATCCGCCCCCAAACCGATAAGCCGTTAATGAAAAAATTTCAATCTGTTCCCTGTCCGTTAAACCGTTAACCCGATACCAATAAGCCATTAAGCTTTGATTTCGGTTCGGTTTTGAACACCCCTACCTCGAGGTCATGGAGCTCGAGGTCATTGCTGCTGAGTAATGTTGGTTTTCGAGTCATTAAGCCGTTAATGTTGCTTAGAAGTCAATCTATTTTTTTTTTTTTAGCTTATCGCTCGCCAATTTTGCTTTTCTCTATTTTTTTTTTTACAATGTGCCATATTTTAGTAAAATTTTACAAATAACATCTATATCAAAATTCAAGAAATGATGGAATCATTGTTCATCATATACATCAATTTAATATATAAATCATGTTAAATTAGGACTTATTTATTATTTTTATAGTACTTTTATTGAATAAAGAAAATCCTGGCCATCCATCCCCTTAGCCTACCTCCCCTTAGCACACCAACCACATAAAAAAAAGAAAAAGGCAAGTAACTTTAAATAAGTTGATTTAGCATTTGGAGTTTGGGGTTTAAGAGGAAAAGCAAAGGGTGAAGGCGGAGGAGTTAATCATACGCAGTGGATTGGGTTTGTCGCGTAGTCGGCTAATTTTCTCCCCTTCATCTTCAAAACCTCACCCTTTCGTTTCTCTCTGCCCCTTAACGACTGCAGTCTGCCTCTGCTCTGCTCTGCTCAGAGAGTTCCATTCCTCTATGAAGAAAAATTTTCCATAAATTTTCTTCCTATCCAAACAAGAAAAAGTTTGAAAAAAAGAGAAGAAAATGTCTCATTCAGTATTCCAAACAGCACAAATCATGCCTATCAATACCCAAATCATCCCTTCCTCTAAACCCCACTTATCTTCAAAACCCTTATTGCCCCCTTTACTCTGCCGCCCTTCTGTTTTTGCCGGCAAAGTTCGTAAAACCAACGGTGTTATCGTCAAGGCTACGGCGTCCCCGGCGGTCGATGGCGACCCTATTGCCGCCTTGGAACGCTGCTTTCAAGCTTCTCCTTCTATCGATTCTCCTGCGTCTTCGTCGTCGTCTTCTTCGGTTATGTACGCTCCGGTAATGAAGGGAGGAAAATACGGTGCGTTTGGTGCGACTACGTTGGAAAAATCGAAGCTTGATTTGACCCAGCAGAAGCAGACCAGGTCTAGCCCTGAGGTTTGTTGCGTTTTTACCCTTAATTTTCCGTTTCTTTCTTCCAAATTTGTAGCTCCAGCTGATTGGTAAAGTGGGAGGTAGAAATAATATAGTGATAGTTGAAAAGGCTCTGCCTAAAATAAGATTTTTAATGTTAGAGTCAGTGAGGTTCTTTTTAAGCTGAAATTAATGTCAAAAGCTTAAATGCTTGGAATTTAGCAAGTTCTAGTGTTTTGGACATTTCCCAACTAGCTTGGATTTTGAGGCTTTGTTGATTGATAAATCGATCAATTGATTGATATAGCTTTGTCTTAGGCTCGTCATTTGTCATTTTATATTATTCTCATAACAACAGAAGGCTCTTTCTATCATTAAGGCATGTTTACCCAAATTAAGTTGATATTCAAGATTTGACTGGCTGACACTCAGCCATAGAAATGGAGCGTGAAATTCTCTTGTATTACCACTGTTATTTTCATACTTAAGTCGTAATTTAGTATATTGCTAACAAAGGTTGAAGGAGGTGTAGAGACACTGCTATGTGTATAGAATGAATAGTGTATAGATGTTTCTGTTCTCCCCACGTGTTATGCTGGAGACTGGGAATGAAGAGTTTTTCTTGGTGCGATTTCGATTGCCATTCGCAATTGATTGACAAAGGTCTGGCCAACTCTGACAAATAGCAAAATAAAATGCAAAGTTTGTTAAAATTGACTGCCTAAAATGGTAATGTGTCCAAGAATAAATAATTCTGAATTTGCTTACTAGATTCGAGATGTGTCGTATGCCTTTACCAAAGGCATCTTGCTGCTATTATTTTCTGTTTTAAGCATCTTTTCTTTTCAATGAAATGGAAAAGTGAAAAAAACAAGAGAAGATATAGCATTCTTCTTGAATGCACTTCTTAGCTGGGTGTAGATGGTGTGGAGTGTCGCTTCTGCTGCTATATAACATATAGCATTCTAATCCAACTATGTTGAGAACGATGCGGTCTCTCTCTCATGATCTTAAGCTTCATTGTTAGCCTTGTGCTACTATTTAATAAACACTTGATTGAGCAAATTTGCTAATAACTTGGCCACATCACAGCTTTCAACTGGCGGAGGAGGTGGAAATATGGGAAAGAATCTAAATCATGGTGGGGGTGATGGCGGTGACGATGGTGGTGATGATGATGATTACTTCGATGATTTTGATGATGGTGATGAGGGAGATGATGGTGGACTCTTTAGGAGGCGAATGATACTGCAGGAGGTAAGAGGCCTCTGCAAGTGGAAACTGTTTCTACTTAATTCTGGGTTTATTCTACAGGGTTTATTCTACAGTATCATGTCACTCATAATTTTTCCATGTTGCCCAGTTGTTTGATCGTAAATTTGTTGATGCCGTGCTGAACGAGTGGCAGAAGACAATGATGGATTTACCAGCTGGACTTCGGCAAGCCTACGAAATGGTAAATTACTCTACTGAGTTGTTTTATTTGGTTGTGTTATTTCTATGTCTAACTTTAGTTTCTGCTTGTTCATCCAGGGATTAGTCAGCTCTGCCCAAATGGTGAAATTTCTTGCTATCAATGCTAGGCCCACCATCGAGAGATCTATTTCTCGGTTACTTCCTCCAGGATTATCCAGGGCATTCATTGGCAGGTAATATATCATTATTACAGTACTCAAAACACCCCAGGGCAATTACTTGGACAAAAGCCTGTCTGCTAGATACATAGTATGTAATGACATGTCAGTAATATCATTGCTGATCAGAGTAGTTATTTTGTCTGTTTAAATTAAGATCATCTCAAATATCTTGCATCTTCAAGTACGTTTCTTAAGTGGGGATCTTAGATTCTTAGTAGCTCAGTTGGTTAGTTATCCGAACTTT